GTGAGTTCCGCTGTTCCAATCGACAAACCGGGTAGAATCGAGAAGTTGTTGTTCTACGCCGCGCGATGCACCGCGCGCGACGTCGCGGTGAATTATGATTGTCTTGGCCGTCTACCCTGCAAATTAGTACTCAGCTGCCTTCAAATGAGAGAATTCGATTGTAATAATAGATAAAAAGACGACAGGGAAAACCATACCTACTGATTTTATTTCCTTTTTCCCCTACCCTTTTTGTGAAAAGTTTCGTGCCTGGGAGTGGGCTGGGAGTCCCACCCAGTCAAGAACTCCTTTTGGAACCAGAAGAATGTTTCGCACATTTAGATTTCATCGACTCCTCGCAATGATACAGCTCGCTTTAGCCGCAGCTACGGCATCACTTGCAGTCACTTGTAGCATAACGTTTTGTGGATCGAGAAAGAAGGCAGGAGGCGGTAAGTGACGGCACTAGCAATCACGATGATTGCCTTACTTAACTTACAGCTTTTTTCAGGGAAGGTACGTCATCCTCCAAATACACACATCTGACACATGGAAAAATCCAAACAACCACAAAAACCACGAAACAGAAAGGTCATCGACGTCGCTTGGAGGGAGGGGGGGGGGAGGTGCGGGGTGGTTTCGTAAAACTCACTTATCCGCGATGTTTCGGTAAGGACCATCTGGACCCAGCGTGTTTATCGCCGGTGCATGGGGAGTCCCAAAGGGGGGGGGGGGAACGGAGTCGTTTCCCACCCGGATATTGCTTCCGTTGTCTAACCTATTCGATTTGAGCTCTTTTAGGATTAGACCGGTGAAATTTCGAGGCATTTTCTTACTCCATCTCACAGTCAGACACAAGGATCTTTCTAGGAATCTGAACGCGAACAGTCTAAATCGGAAAGTGACAGCGTATCAGAAGAGTCAGAGCAAAGCCGATCACCTGCTAGTGGAGAGAAAAGAAGCAAACAAAGTACCTTACATCCTTCTGATCCATAGCGATCACAAACACATCATTTTAGGCGCTTTTTTCAGAATTTCGACCGCGCGACGACAATGAAACCATAAACGAAATCCAGAGCAACTGGGGTGCTGTTCAAGCGAAAACACCACCCAGAAAAGGAACACCAAGAGGAAAAGGTCAACCAGGACAACCAGCCGGCGCACCAGTTCAGATACCTGGATGGCCACCACCTGCTGGAGGAAGACCTCCGGGAGGAGGAAGGCCAGGCGGTTGGCCGCCAGCCGGTGGCCAACCAGGTTGGCCCCCAGCAGGCGGTCAACCAGGCTGGCCTCCAGCTGCAGGTGGTGGTGGACAGCCAGGTTGGCCTCCAGGCGGTGGTCAACCGGGCTGGCCTCCACCCCCTCCTCCTCCTCCCCCTCCACCTCCGCCGCCTCCTCCACCTCCACCACCCCCTCCACCTCCACCACCCCCTCCACCACCACCTCCACCTCCTCAAGGTGGTGGAAAGAACCCAGTCGGACTGGATCCTTATTTCTGTGTACCTTAATGGCCTCATCGCTTGTTTGATACATTGTATTAATGAAAACACATATAATTACGGACACTGTACAATTGAATATGGCAATAAAATGCATTCGGGTTATTTTAGCGTTGTAGCTGCCAATGGCTTGAGTGCCAGGAGCAGGTCACACGCAAACAGTAGGTCAAGCCACATAGACTAGCAGCACATACAACAGACAGACAGGACAGAAAGATATAGAGAGACGAGGCAGCACTTGGGCAAACGGCAAGACAGGCAGACAAGAAGACAAACTATTAGAGACGCACACGCCATCAAAACTAGACAGCAGACAAGCACCCACAAAACAGGAAACACATCAGGTAACCTCGTCATCCGGGCAGTTGATTAGGGCGGTCGTCAACGGGCCGCAGCGCGTGCCAGGAACTATTTGCTTTTTCCAGGCTAATTTAGTCATTTTTTCCAACTTTTCACTGTTTTGGCTACTTTTTCCCAGATTAGCAGCTCCTTATCTTCACAAGGTGGAAAAAATGACTAAATTAGCCTGGAAAAGCAAATAGTTCCTGGCACGCGCTGCGGCCCGTTGACGACCGCCCTAATCAACTGCCCGGATGACGAGGTTACACACATGCTTACACATTACATACACCAACACAACACACGGCAACCAATAAGACCAGATTCAGCAGAGGCAGACAGACGCGCCACAGACAAATACACAGCTACACAAACCCAGGACAGAACACACAGACAGACAGACAGACAGACAGACAGACAGACAGACAGACAGACAGACAGACAGACAGACAGACAGACAGACAGGCAGACAGACAGACAGACAGACAGACCACACAGCATACAGAGAGACAAGCACGCCAGTAGAACAGACAGACCAAGACGCACAGACAGACAGATACACCAGATGCACACGACGCAAACACAGCCAGACAGACAGACAGATTGATAGACAGACACACACGTACACACACTTACACTTACACAGGCAGAGAGACAGACAGGCAGTTAGACAGACAGACACACACATGTATACGTAGGCAGACAGACACACATAAACAGACACACAGACACAACTTTTGCACACCGCACACGGCACTAAACTCTGACAGACCAGACAGAACAGACAGACAAAGCAGACAAGTTTAGCGAATTATATCTAGAAGGATACGTCTTCTACAAGTTATTAACTTACAAGTAATGCACGAAAGCATTTTGAGAACAGTAAATGTATTAGCCTAATTTCTTCTTAAACGCAGTTGACACGATAAATCCCTAAAGAAGAGTGATACGCCTAGGAGGGCGGATTTCCGCGACCCTGAGCAGGCGCTGCGTAGCGGTTTTTCCTAGGGAGGTACCCTTATAAGGGTCCTATCAAGCTACAACAAACCGACCCAAACGCCCACCACGACCGCACCGCCAGCAATGGACGACCTTAGACCAGATGCTCGTTTTGCTTCATTTGCTATTTAAAATATGAAGCGAAGGGAATGGTATGAAGCGGCTGCAGTGCTGAATGGATATATGAGTACATACATGCAGCCGTACCTACCGGAGCGGTTATTTGCAATACGCCGCCCGTAGGCCGGGGAACTCGTCGAATTTGTTTTTCAAGAACGAGGCCTTTCTCGGCAGTTTCCGAACCGTTTCACTTCGTTTTTCGCCATTTTGCTCACTCAATAGCAGCGCCCTGCAGCATTTTAGGCTTGATCCCAATTATCAGTGCCAACTAACCTTTGGAGCCTCATTCATCGTCAGAGTACAATCTCCTTATCCCTGAGCCCGGAGTAGGCGTAGTTCATTTGAGGACATAGAATGATAGGATGTAGGAAACTTTAATGTGTTATTTCGAATTTTATGGCAGCTGCCCATTTTTTCGCATGCTCAACAGAACCACCAGCACACGCCTAACCGCATGTCAGGGATTTTCGAGTGTATGTAGTGTATGAGGTTTTCAAGTTAAAAGGGGCAGAAGTCTTACCATCGTTTGAAATAATGCTGCTTACCATTAGGAAGCGTTCAGACTTCGCGACGGCAGCGATTCGGCCGACGCGTTCAAGGCGATCGATGCGCATACTTTCCACTGCATCGATTGCGTCGAACGCGAAATCCTGAACTCTGCGTTAGTGTCACCCTAGATCCTTTTGTATGTGACAACTACTGACATCCCGTTTCTCGAGAATGATTCTCCACGTTTGAGGAAAGATCTCATATGAAAACCTCGTGCAATGGGGCAAAGTGTGTCTCTGCAAAGCAGTGTTGCATGCAAGAAATGCAAGGGAGCGATGTTCCCACACCACTAGAAGGCCCTCCCTTCCCGTCTGCACGTGTGTCTTCACCGACTTTATCATATCGCCTATTGCTCGCAGGCATATTCCATATCGCTAGGGCATACTTTAGTATGTTTCAGTTTGGATTCGTCTGAGAACGAGCCGGTCGCCGAAATGAAACGCCTGATGATTTTCCTCTTGTTCTTGTTGGTCGTCCCAACATTAACAGTGATTAAGTAAATACATTAACTTTAGCTCTTTCCAAACATTTGAAATCGCTCCGCTTTGAGGAAGGGTTCATGCAGTTTTCAGGACCTGAAACCTCAATATTCGAAGAAGCAGTGCTTGAAAGAATGTGGCCACTATAAAAAGAAATATACTGGACAGAAATCTGATGAAGATGTGACGAAAATGGACTGCTCCAAGGCTTGCGATGAATTCATACGGGCGGTTTTCGGAAAGGACCTCCCAGAATAGCTCAGCTATGCTTCTGTTATTTAGCGGCAATAAATTTGCCCCTCACTCGTTGTTACCATTGAAAGTCTTCTAGCACTGCTTGGACATCCTCTGCTGTTGCCCTCAACAATCCACCTAAAACATATGAAGATTGCACTGGACTATGCAACTGACCTATTACAGGTACTTGGCAGTGCAGACATCGCTCCTGTATATTCTCTACACAAGTTGGCTGGCGTACAATCTCGCATGCATCATGCGAGAAGCCGTACAGAGCTCACCACCAGAACTATACTCTCACACAGAACCCTCTCCCAAGTTGAAGGCATGAGGCACGGTAGTCTTGGACTTGCTCAAAAATACCAGGGAAGGGGCTACATAGTGGGGAAGATGACGAAAACATGAAGTTGTGCGGCTAAAACCTGCCTAAAAACTTGTTCTGCACGGCTTCAGACCAGTGTTTTCAGAAGAGTTTCCCGTTGGCATCGTGCCAACAACCACTTCGATAGATACGGCTGCACGTTTGTGTTCATACATCCATGTGTCGACACTTCATATCAATTGGAGGGCGCAGTATGCCGACGGGGGGGGGGGCATTTTGCACTTTCGTTGCTTCACTAGTTCTGGTTTACAAGTCTCACTCTGGTGAAACCTGTGAACTCTTGTGAAGCTGGAGCAAGCTCGTCAAGCCATCATGGTAAAACCTGTCAACTCGAGAAGAGGCTGTCTAGATGGGTCGACACGTCGATGGGAAGTCGTTAAAGTGCAAAATGCCCCCCCCCCGTCGACAAACAGCGCCCAATTGCGATGGATATGGGTGCGGTGGTCGTGTGGGTCGGTGTGCTGTACCTTGGTCAAGCGCTGTAACGACTCCCTTGGTTGGAAAAGGCGACACGCAGCGCCTGATAAGGCTGCTTTCATGCTTTGCGTCAGCGTTCACTAACTTGCATGCGTGAACCAGCGTCTCGGAGAGGACAACATGGCGCGATAGGAGGGCAGACAGCTGGTACCATCCTATCGCGCGACACTACAAGCTGCATGCTACCCTCCTATCGCGCCACGCTGGTAGACGCCCGATCGATACCTCGATACCTACACTTCTAGACCCACGAAACGCTGGTGGGTGCTGGCAGACGCTGGTAGGCGCTGGCAGACGCGAGATCGATATCTATACTTTCCCAATCGCTGGCGCTGCCGGAATCGCTGGTGCTCGAAACGCTAATGGACGCTGTCGCAAAGTATGAACGCAGCCTAAAGGAACCATGCACGCCTGCTAGGGGCATAATATTCTTTCGCGCTATGTGTACCGATACTGCACGCTTTGTCGACTGATCGTACCACTTGCCTTTGAAGATGCTCCACACATTCCACTCCTATACAGAATCCTTGCAAAATGGCAAGAGGCAGAATCTGACCCCCAGAAGGTCGAACAACTGCGATGCAACGCTTCTGTACTGTACCACCCACAATCTTGCGGAAAGCATGACTTCTGCACTGACGAGAAAAAGATTGGTGTTGAATAGTTCAGAATAGCATCAGTGGAAATGCCATTTCGTAAAGAAGAGTTTTTGCACTCAAGAATAGCAGCAATTAGGCACTCTTCAGAGTTGGCGCTACTCCACTTACTCCCATTTATCCGATTCTCTCTAGGAGCGAACAATAGGAATAATCGGGCCGAGGGCGACAAGTCGAAAAACAGCACTCGTCTTCGTATGACGTTTTCGATTCTGTAACTTTGAATTTTCCTGTTTTCTCTCCCCTTCCTCGTTCCCTGGCGCTGACTGGTACAGCCATATTTCGAGAATAGCGTTAGATGGAACACCTCCCTCGCTCTAAGTAAGTGTTACGGGCGTAGCTGTGAGGGTTCGGATTCTAGACGGAAACAGATTTTCTCGTCCATCGTGTAGCCGAGCCTCCAAAGGGAGCGTTCAGACTGCGCGACGGCACAGCTTCGCTCGCGCTTTCGATGCACAGACTAGATCGCACTGATCGCGTGAACGCGTATCCGAAGCGTTCCGTCGCGAAGCATGAAAGCTGCCGAAGAGAGAAGAGAGAGGCGTAGCGTTTGTGCGTAGGCAAGAGGATGCAGACATCACGAGAAAAACACACGGTCCTGCGGTTGACGATTGCCCTGAGACGATAAAAAGTAGCGCGGCCACAATCTCTGGTCCATTACCTGATTTGCCGTCCAAAAAGTGCATTGGTCAACCTGAACACTTGTGCTGCACTTTTCCCGCAAAAGAAGGTGCTCAAGAATTCTGTTCAACCGGACGAAAGGTGAGGGAAGATACAATGCGACTCCCTTGCTCTGCGTAAGGTAAGCGGGATTAATTATAAAAATGATTCAATCTGAGACAGAAAGAGGGTCGAATCGCTTCTCGTAGATATTTCTTGAGCCCATTTGATTTTTAATTCATTTGTCTAGGTCCTGAGAGTTGATGGGGGTTCCCGCGGGTCCACACCGTAGACCGGATAGTCTCTGAGCTGCGTTTATACTTTGGGTACGTCCAATAGCGTTCCGATCATCCGGCAGCGTCAGCGACTAGAAAAGTATAGATAACGTCTACCAGCGTCTCGAGTGTAGGGAAGCATAGGAATCGATTTAGCGTCCGCCAACGTCTACCAGCGACCGGGAGTAGTGAGTATGGGGAAGTAGGAGGGTAGCTGTATTAAGCGTCGTGAACTTGCGGCGCGTGCAACCGCGCCGTACAATTACACCGCACATTAAATTACATAATTCTGTGCTTTGGCAGTTGTGCGGTAAGGTTGCACACGCAGCAATTTCACGAAGACTGAGATGTTTGCACTCCAGCTGTTTGCACTCCAGCATTCCCAGTTCCCATGTTCTCTACTCCCGCTTGTTGGTGAACGGTGGTGGGTAGACGCTAAATCGATGTCTACACTTTCCCAGTCGCTGACGCTGCCGAACGCTTGTGGAGCTGGAGCGCTGGTGGACACTGGTAGAGCTGGTAGACGCAGCCGCAAAGTATGAACGCAGCCTGACTCTGACCGTCTGCGCTCCAAGCATCAGTCTTGCTTAGAGGAAAGGATACAGAGGAGAGGCAGGCCGAGTGGCTGAGCTCAACTACATTATCACCGGAAGACGTCGTGTGTTGAGGAATCCTCACTGTCAACGGGATAATGTTTGGTCGCTAGAGGAAAGGAATACGTAGCCTGAGAGAATTCTGGCATTTTTGGATTTTTCCTGCCCCAGTCTTCCCGAATACGGCCAGTTTTCCTTTTATCGACTTTTTTCTTCGAGGTTATGCTTGGCTGAAAATCTGTTTGCAGAGGTTTCGATTTCCTGAGCATGAATATCACATCTGCTCGGCTTGAGACTGCCTGGCACCAAAACATCCAGATCATCACATTCGCTGAAACTCTGCCCCTGGGGTATTTTGGACTACTGAACACGAACATCGCATCTGCATATTGTGCCAGTGGTCTTGGGTTGGCGGGAAGGTGGGGGGGGGGGGGGTGCGCATGACAGCTTGCTGCGCTTGCCTGCGCGCTTTCCCCGAGATAGTGACCTTTTCTGCTGAGGCTGAGCCTCGCGTGAAGGGAACCACTTCGTCTTCCAAGGTCAGTCTTTCCAGAGAGTCGGATGGTGCCAGCGCTAAAAACGAAAGTGTTGTCCGTGATCAGGATGTTGATCAACCTCGTGCACAAGTTTTCATTGGTTTTGGTGAGAAAGATGGTGGCGGCAAATTGGCCTCAGCTCCAAAAAGTAATGTTGACCAGGGCTCTGAATTACCACTTTTGTCGAAGTTTCAGCAAAAAAAAATTTTTTTCGAATTCTTGGCTTCGAGTAGTTCAATAGCACCCAAAATTCTTGAAAGCCTACTTTCCCGTTTCACGCGCTACTACCCACAATGTTGTAGTGAAAGACCTGGAAGACCCCTGTTACAGAGAGGGGGCGGGGGGGGGGGTAGTAGTTGTTCGCCGCTCTGAGAGGGGTTCCTCCATACCAAGGGAGGGGGAAGGTCCCACTATACGACGGAATTGGGAAGGAGGGTCGTAGTTCAGAACCTGATCGGAAGTGCCCTGGTTAGTACTCTCAAATTCAGATGCTCGCTAGCGCTGCGCACGGTTAGCGTTGGCTCGCACTTAGACGGTCCAAGGACTCATGAAAGGAAAAGCTCCTATTTTCTCTAGCATTGCCCATTTGAGAGATGTGGGTCTGAACTGACTGGAAAAAGAGCGGAGTTAAATGGCGAGTGATGTTGTATGGTGAAGACACGCATTCAGCCAACTCTGCCATTCTACGTGGACGTAGGATGCATGGCGCATGCCCAAGGAAACCGATGAGAATCGATTTTCTGCTTTTTCCCCGCGCATTCTTTTTACTGTCTGCTATTTTCTGCTTCTGATCAGCTTAAACTTGGCTCAGCTTGTTATCTAGGAGGAGTTGCATAGATAATTCGGGCGCTGGGCGTATGCGATATAGCGCGGCATCGCTCGCGGACGAGTCATCCGCCCCGCCTCCGCCGCTGCCGCCGCGTTTTCTTTCTGTTTGCTTCCATTTGGACCAAGTGGCGTTTCCTTCGATCTTTTTCAGTTTTAATACTTAGTTGTGGGATATGCAGATCAGACCTGCTATATCTATCGTCCCCTATGCCGAAATAACTACTGCTTTATCCTGTCCTGTTGCTCTGGGGGGACTTCATTCTGTAAAATTGCGGATGCTTTTTTTTCGTTTACAAAAATGTCATTAAGTGAATTCCACTAATATTATAAATAGTTTCCGGTCTTTTCGGTCCGAACTAAAGAATTCCTTTTAGTTTCCAGCCTTTTCGGTCCGAACTAAAGAAAGTTTTTCAGACGTTCCTTCCAGACGCTAGCACTTTCTTGAATTGCTTTTGTTTTTCTTAGGTCGTTTCGACCCTTCGTCCGTCTCTTAAGTGGTTTTGCT